TCAGGTATAACTGCTTGAACAGATGAACGGCGCCTTGATCCGTTCATTTAGCAAATAGAAATAGTTTGAGTAACTAACTGACCAAAAGCAAGGAACTTTTGGGGTTTCAACTGTAGGCGTTTACCATTTAAACATTGCTCAGATATTGTTTTCAACTGAACTGGAAAAGTACACTTTCCATGTTCATGGCAAGAAAATGAATCACCAGTCTGTGACTTTTCATGCAGAGCTAATGCCTGTCTGAACACAAGACGGATTCAGAGCGACACGCATCTACAGGCCTGTCGATTCGGTCGCCGTGGTGCTGTCAGCGGCGATGAGGAGATGCGTAGTGGATTTGATAGCAGCTCAACCCCAATCAGGGTTATGTGATGAGTAAGCAGTCATAGAAAAAGAAAGTCTAAGAAGTTTTATTTTAATCACACTCTGATTGTGTGAAGCGGGGTATAAATATTCCCTTTGACTGAAAGCGAGAGGCTCCTACCCGGTTAGAGGTTAAATAGGTAGCGTGTCAAAGTTGAAGTGTTTGAAAGTCGGTGCCGCTTTTGATTCCGGTGGAACGGCAAAGGTTTAAAAATATCCTTAGAAATTTCACAGGACAGATGAGATCTTTGTAAGGAAGAGTTCAATCAAAGTGCAATCTTTAAAAAGACATAAAACGTAATCAGGGAAGTAACATTGTTCGGAGAAATTTTTTTATTATTTTTTTTTAATTACCCAATTATTCCAAATCAGTTTCCGTATTCACACCGAATGTTCAACGGTTGTTTTGTGCGACATTTAATTCAAACATAAACCTCACAGGCGGTCTACACAAACCACAATGCCTCCATGGTGACCATGACGATCTTTTTCAGGCGCCATTAGCTGCGCCTGCTGTGTTCCATCACAGGGAGCGTGCAGGTGTTTGATTAACCTTCTTAGCTGCATGAGAAATCAAGATTAAAAAAAAAAGGAGGAGGCGAAAAAAAAAAAGGTTATACCTGTCAGCATACATGTAGATTCAAACAGGAGTGTGAAATTAATGACTCAAAGTGGGAGTAATTCAAAAGCAAATGGGAAAAAGCTCAGTTTGAGATCAGGTGATGGAAAACCTTTTCATTAAACCATATGCCATATTATCCATTGTTGATAATCTTTCCACATGCTAAGACCTTATTATATCATGATCAATGGAAAAGCAGAATTTCAATTTGCAACATAAAAATATGCTGCAGCGGCTTTTCAGCCTGTTTATAGGAGGTTACTTCTGTAAATAAGCGTGTCATCAGCAAATAGGAGTATTTTGTCTTGATCTTTGGGACTTCGGTTTGATTTTTTTGGCATTGAGGGCATTGGGAATAAGTAGGCGGCTACCGACATGGCATCTGCTAGTAAACTGGTGCACTGCTGGGTATTTAATCAAGCAGTTTAGGAAAAGCCTGACAGACGGAAGACAAAGATTTCAAATGTCTGAGGTGAAGCCAAAGGGAATCATTTCAGTGACGAGCTTTGGACCCCGTCTCTTTCTTTATGTTGAATCGTGAACACTGACCTCTCAGTCACAAAGTCTTAGTAAATGGCTTTGTAACAAGTTTTATACCGATAAGTGATGGGGATTATTCGTTTTTCTGACTTGTTTTTGAATTTCTACACGTCTTTTCGAGGTCTTTTAGCCTACTTCATGTTGTATGATGGGTTTTATTGAAATATGGTTTTAATTGGCAGAATTAGTCAGCTCGGCTAAATAGGGCAAGACCCTGTAAAAGATGTACAGACACCCAGAATATTCAAACTGAAAAAGCTTTAAGCCATAGATCAGAGGATGATTATATTATAACCAGTTTTTAAATAGGTCATTTCTAATAAGTTTTTAATAATTAAGTCTTTTGAAATAAGCTACCTTAATATCTCAATTTCAGCCAATCAGGCTGCTGTTTTAAACGATTATCACCTAATAATATTTTTTGAGAAATTGCAACCTGAGAGAAAAACAAATCCCCTTTTCAAACAGAGTAATTATAGCCATATAATAACATAGGCTGACCTCCCTCTTTAACAGTTAATTAGTGTGTGTAGAATTAGTATTTAACCAGTATTATAACACCACAGCTCCGGCTGCATGCAGCCCCTAATTTTGAATAACCACAAAAAAAATCAGACAAGAAAAAAAAAGAGAGAGAAATCCATCAATAAATATAATTTGAACTTTTTTGTGAGTATTACAAAAAACAAAAAAACAAAAAAAAAAGTTTTTTCTGGGGGTCATTCCTGAACTAGATCTTATAAAAAAAATATAGATTTTATATGAAGAGAAAACTTTTTTTTAACAAAATAAACGACAATAAATTGTTGCCAAGGTTGAAATCAAACTGCTTCGTGTTATTTTGACGTCACGCTGCATCTGAGCGAAGCGTCATTTTGTTTTCATTTTACTCTGGAATCGCTTCAAAATTGTACAATTATGAAGCTCACCAAGATGATGTCGGATATCAAGAAGCATGCACGCAACTTACTGAAGGGAAACGTATTTTCATCCTTGATAAAAGATGGAAGAATTTACAAAAGTATATCCGTGGGCTAAAAGAAAATAAAAAAAAAATAAAAAAATCAAAGCACGAGCAGTCAGGAATGACTTCTCACCAGATTCCCAACATGTGTATAGCACTTTGTTGATTTTTTTATTTTGCAGGAGCTTGTGTATAGCAATGTATAGTTGAATGCAAAAAAAAAAAAAAAAAAAAAGAAGGGCTTTTAAAATGTTCGCATTTGCAACCGCAGAGGTCAGTGGATTTTATTAGGATTTAAATATTTAGAAAGGGGAAGGAAACATGCTTTCCATAAATTATTTTTTTAAATTTAATTAAAAGATAAAATAAAGTCTGAAAATTATGATGTCTTGTTTTAAAATGTGTGTGCAAATTTAGAGTCCAATGTGCTTCACCATGGCTGAAGTGAAGTTTTAGTTTTGTGTGGCGATGTACGGTAAAAAGTTACGTTTTGGACTCATGTATCCTGCAAAGCTGCAGCGATAGTTCTCAGCTATAGAGAAAAGTTCTTAGCTTTTCTCTATAAACTCTATTACTTGTAATATGTAAAATATTCCACGGTTTGAGTCCGAAAACATCCTAAATCTAGCGTTAGTGCATCTCCAGATTTCTGCCTTAGGGAAAGTGAAAAGCAGTAAAACGACTCACTGGGAGAGGCTGATTAAAGCCGGGACATGTTGGCTTATAAACTTGTAAATCAGGGACTTAAATGCAGTACGCAAACGGTTTAAACAGTGTTCTAATAAAAAAACAAACATCACAAATATGTAAAGGGAAAAAAAAAAAAAAAGAAACCTAAAAGCCACTTCAGTCATCGTCGAATCCATCCGTGTTGGTGCGTGTGCGTTTTGGGAACTCACATGAACAAGCAGATACCTTCCTGCGACCATTGCTGGTTTTAATGTGTTTTTAATTTCCCATGAAGTGACTGGAGTCCTCGGTGACCGCCGCTCCATAATTGGTTGCCGGTGTGAACATCAGTCAGCTTAACGAGAGCTGGGGGCTGAGAGCAGGGGAGCCTTGGCTGCAACCTGCCCCACACACACACGCATGTTTTCTCACAGATAGGTATGCAGTCACTGTCTTTGGAAAAATAAAAAAAAGACATGCATGATGACATGCAAAGTCGCATTAGTACCCCCTGTGCTGCACGTCTTCCACAATAAATAAGCAACTTGTTTACCTGTTAGACGTCATGTCAACCGCCTTACCTGCTGATGTCTGAGCAAAGATAGGCCAGCGGCTGTGGAGAAGTCATGCACAAAAATAATTCAATGTTCTGCCATCATCATCATCATCATCATCATCACACAGAACCTACAGGAAAAGTTTTAACACCACATGAGGAAATAGTTTGTCACATTGCAATCACAGCTTCCTGTATCGTTGGGATTTTATGCAATAGACGAACACAAAGTCGTGCATAACGTCACTTTCTGAAAAGACGGCAAAATAAAAATCCACTGTTCTTTGTATTTTACTAAAAAGTAAAATACAATTGTTGACTCCTAACCTTTCACCATTTGTTTTGGCGTCTAAACCAACTTAACCACATTACAAAATTCTAATGGGAATTTTCCTACACCAAGTTATTTCACTCAAGTTTTGTGAGTATCAAACTCGTTTTCATTTCGAGTCACATCGACATCGTGAGTGTCGTCGAAGAGCCAGTTATGGCAAAATGTATTGATAAAACCCATTTAAAAAACTGCTAAATATTAATAAAAAGCTACCAACGTATTCGATTAGCATTTCTTGACATTAAATATGACCCAAGATCTTTTAACATCGACGTACTTTGCCACAATACAGACAAAAACTGCTTTGACTTGACTGATGAAATAACATTTAAGCAAGAGGGCCACATAAAAAAAGTTATGGTGGGCCGAATTTGGCCCCCGGGCCTCGAGTTTGTCACACGTTTTATGTAATTTAAGATTCAAAACAAGTGGAGAACTGATGCTTACCGTGAAAAGGTAAGAAACGCAATGAAGGACTATAAAATTATGTTTAGAATCCTGATATAAAATGGTTTAGAGGCCACAGAAGATGGAAAATTGTCTCTTTAACTTTAAAAACAGTTGCAAACTAAAGGAGAAAAGAAAAACGTAGGCTGCAAATCTAAGAAATAAATACAGTCTTAAGAAGAATCAATATGAAAAACCCATTATGTTTGCAATAAGAAGAAAGTCCGGAAACTCATTTGCTCGCATTTTTCCGGACTGCGTACAAAAAAACTGGAATACAAATGAACCTGAATAAAACAATCCCAACATAATGCACCAAAGTTTGTGGTTGCAAACTTCTAACAGGTACGAGAAGAGCGCACTTGCAAACCGCTTTAAATCATGACAGGTGGGTGTGTTTGCTGGAGGCGAAGCGCCCCGAAGCGACGTCCAATGAACCTGCAGCAGGACGCCACGTATTCAGACAAATCATACATTTTAACACAAGAGAAAAAGAAAAAAAAGCTTTTTTTTTTTGGTATTCCATATATAGGATTTATTTACACTTTCTATTTACAGATATTTGTTTCTGTACATATTTTGAAATTCAATTCAATAAGACCGTACTGTCACTCTCACGATCTGGCAAATATTAGCTTTCTTTCTCAGCTCTGTGGAGCAAAAGACACAGGAGAGGGGAGGCTCGTTTCTTCTTCATTTTGGTTTTCACAAGTTTTAGACTACTGGAAGAAAAAAAGAAAAAAAGAAAAGAAATAAAAGCAGCAGAAGTGTTGCTTCCCGAGAACATTTCAAGTCTTCTCTGTGTGGGCTAATGGAAAGAGAGCCAGATGTCACCGATCGCCATGGAGACGAAGGCGACGCGCAAAGGAACCGGTGGAAGGCTAATTTGAGATTAGCAGCAAGTGATTTTGTTTGAGTTTGTTTATTAAATTATGGTGCGTCCGTGGAGGCGTCTGATTTGTGTCGGAAGGAAACGGCTGCGCATAACCCCGCTTTTCATATCAACACAAATCTGTGCATTAAGGCAACTTAAGATGAATAGAAGCAGAACTTTGGAGAAACACGTACAGTGTGCAAATCCCTGCCCCGCTTGTTAGTTAACGCCGCATCGCCCGTCGAGCTAAAAGCAGCGGCGACTCCGACGTGTGTAACAAATCTTACAGGGAGCTGAGATGACCTGCAGGTTTTTACGAGCTTTAATGTATTATTCCCATCAGCAGAAATGACACGCTTCTAGAAGCGGAGTTTTTACATAAAATGAGTCTGTAATTTTGCCATATTTATTGCTACCTCAGGTAAAAGTGGAAAAAGCCTCTCAAAAAAAAAACCCCCAAAAAAAAAGAAACCTTTTTGAGTCTGGGGAACTGTTTTTTGTTTTTTTTTGTTTTTTAAGTGTCAGGGTAAATTTGTTGAAGAATTAAATAATTCTGCTTTAATTTTCAAGCAGAAAAGAAAAGTAGACTCTTAAATAGAAAGCTCTGATATATGATATTCATTAAAATTTTTATGCTCCACACCCACTAAACTATAGTTTACATTCGTGATGGTAGGACAAAAAAATTGTCATGGAGACGTAACGGCATGATGTGGAAAATCAACAGCTTCGATGTTTTAATAATTGTTCTGACTTACTGTATAAGTATATTTGGATTAGTGTGATTTGTTTTTGCAGTTTCTGGACTTAAAAATATCAAAACTTTTTTTTTTTTTTACTCAAATGGAATGTATTCCTGCCTTTCCTATTTAGAAGAACTGATTAAAAATATATGGCACTCTGTCAAATGAGGTAAAAACATGATGCTTTGGAGTATTTTTGAAATGCTTCTTAACGTTAAACAGTTATTTTACAGTGATTCTCATTAACTGTGTTGATTTTGGATGCTAGGTGAATGCATTTTAAAGGCTTTTCACATCTTTACCATACGGAGGAATGTGTTAAAGACAGTCTGTCAAAGCTATCAAACTCCACCAACAGGAGTTTATGAAATCTTTATGAAAAGAAAAACGCTCCGACTTTTCAGCAGAGTAATAAAGTCTCCTAAGAAGATATTAAACACAGATATTTTCACTGCTGCGCCTTTTTAGCTCCTCAAACGCTGAGTGAAAGCATCGGTCCTGCTCACGCGTACAAGTTTCAGCATCGAGGCTCGATGGGCCTGCAGAGGGACAGGGGCAGCTTCAGTAAACAAATGCCACCTTCGTAGGAATCGTACATGATAAATGCCCGGGGAAGAATGAAGCGGCTCAGGTTGATGGTTTTTACGGCCAAACCACGTATAAAAAAAAAAAAGAAAAAAACAGGAAACTGTAAACCTCTGGGGTAGATTTGCGTTAATCCGGATGGCTTAGAGTCAGGCACAACTTAACGTAAACATTAGTAGCTATATATATAAAAAAAAAAAAAAAATAGAAAAAAAAAAATTTAACTGTCATGGATGATTTTTTTTTTCTTTAAATGCTGATTGAAAGAAGAGGATATATATCACAAAGAGAGAAAGCAGAAGGAGAGAGAGGGGCAAAAAAAAAAAGGAGCTGTGGACTTTTTAAATTAAGTGCAGTTTTTCTTGTCACACAGCACAGGAGATAAGGGGCTTGTGAAACTGGTTCAGATTGTGTAGAAAAAAAAAAAAAAAAAAAAAAAAAAGTCCCAGTGTGTGATCAAAGACTGACAGCTCTCAGAGAAAAAGCGCTGAAACTTCCAAAGGAACACAACACCCTCCCTCTCTCTCTCCCCTTCACACACACCTACGCTCGCCGGCTCTGCCGGCACATGGTGACAATAATGGATCCTGGCGGAGGCGCTGCAGGAGGCTGCGGATGTTAACCGCTTTTTGAGTTATGTCACCCAGTGTCTGATTATCAAACCGCTGCCGCCGCGTCCCTGCGAAGAATTACGACGGCGAGCCGCGCGACGGGCACCGTGACGACGGGAAATTAGCAAAAAGAAATATTCTTGATTTAGGCGTTCTGGACTGGAAAGAGATTGTCTCATAAGTGTGTTAGTTTTGTTATCTCACACCAACTGCCAGGAAGTTCGTCCGTTTATCCGTCTGTCTGCTCTTCCTAACATCCAACCAGCTCACAAACTGTTTTTTTTTTTATTTCCCTATCCAAAGAACACATCTACTATTTCATCAAGTCATGCTAGTTTTTTTTCTTTCCTTCCCGTCATATTTATTTATTTATTTCCTGCCATCTTTAGATTTGAAGTCTGACCTCTGGAAGAGGGTCAGGGTCACTGAACAAAACAAACAAAAAAAAAAAATCAGTTTAAACAAATCTCAGACCTAAAATTCAGAATCCTGATTTTGACCTTCTGATAAAAGTCAGAATTCTGCGTTAAGAATTGAATTATGATATTAATATCCTCTGTTATTTTGAGAAAAATTAATTCTGATTTAAAAAAAACCTATGATTTAGAGGCGGATGGATAAACTTTTCATGCTAACCTCAGTTCAGACGTTTTATTCTAGAATTAGCCGGATTTAAACCTAGTAAATTAGAAATCTTAGTGGAAATGAAAACACATTTTGTCCCCCATCGCTTCTGAAGTGACAAATTCAGTGAGATCTGAGGTTAGCGAGCTGATGGTGAGACGTAGCCCTTCGTGAACAGGCAATCTAAGACAAAGTCGGCCTTTTTGCCATCCTGATGGCATTGTCGTTTTTTTGAACGTGGGGCGAGCTTCTCCGGACGCCGTTTACCTTCCACTCTGATGTACGGGGAGTGTGAGAGGATGAGGGGGAGGAGGTGAGAAGGGGAGGATAAAAGGGAGAGCAATTTGCTGAGTGCTGGATTCTCGGAGCCCGATCTGTGCCGTAGGATCCTGGAAAACCAACTGAATCAGTTTCCCCCTTGTGTCACAGAAAAACTGCAGACTCCTTCAAGATTTGTAAGTCTTCTATTAATAATAATAATAATAATAATAAAAAAAGAAGTGCCCTTCTGCTGTCTTTCTTCATATCTATAAACTAAATAAAGGGTTTTATTTTGCCAAAGGGAGCAAAATAAACTAAGTATTGCTATAGTAGTGTAAAATAATGCAGATTTTAACCCCAGGCGGTGCTGAGAAACTGTTCATGATCCTGCATCAAGCCGTGTGTGGTTGTTGTTCTTCAACAACGACGAAAAAAGAAAAAAAGAAAAACTTGCAATAATCAATATTAATGATCTGTTTCTGCATCAGACTGAGAATGAACGCACGTTTCAGTGAGTGAGATAATTTAAAAAGAAAAGGCTCCGGATCATCATGTCAAAATGCTACACCACGCATCCTCAAGTCACTGTTTGATTCGAATCTCTTAGTAGCAGAAAGGCCCACTGGAAATATGGGCAAAAAAAAAAAAAAAAAAAAAAAAGGGGAGTGGTTAGGAAAATGGGAGGAGCCTGTGAGTCCAGCAGGCGACGAAGGATGAGGAAGAGGACGAGGAGGTGGAGACGCTCTCATCATCTCTTGTAGTGGTTGGGCGCGTCGGCGAAGGCGAACTTTAACCTGTAGGCTTCGGCCAGCAGCACGCTCACTTCCTCGTTGCCCCAGTGCATCGTGGGGAGGTTCTGCAGCAGGATCATCAGGCCCTGGTGAGACGGACGCAGCAGAAACAGAAAAGATTTTGATTTGTTTATTGATTTAAATGGTAACGAAAACACTGAAACAAAGAAGCTGGCTGGCAAAGACAAATACGCAGCTGATCGATTTTAAATTAGGAAGGAAATTAATAACACTCCTCAGACTGCCGGGGCAGAAAATTAAAATAGGGCTTCGTTTACAAAAATTCACTATTTAGGAGTTTTGCAGATGAAAGTGTAGTGGCTGTGTTTGACCTGCCCAACTTCGGATGAACACCTGTAAAAACACAGTGCAGCAACCGGAATAAAAAGTCAAATTAGCATTAGCTCAATGCTAAAGGAGCTAATGCTAACATGACTTCTTGCCATCTGTTTTGATATATTATTTTTATTTAAGGTTACCATCATAATCTCATCCAACCTGAGCCTAATTGACATCTCAACAACTCTAGATCAGCTACTTTCATTCTTCCAGTGGTTCACTAATAAGCGATTGACGGACGACGCGTGGTTTTTAAACTCTGGACAGTCCTGGTATTTGTCTTGGACAAACAGCTGGAAAAAGCTGACCTAGTTATTCCTCCTGCTCGGTCAAGCAAACAAAAAAGATGCTCTGATGACTCTTTCCATCAGAGAGAGAGAGAGAGAGAAAAGAGCAAAAGAAGGAAAGTCTGTGCAGCTGCATCACTTTTCCTGACCTGGTTCGTGGTCGAGTTGTTGAATGGAGTTGATTAGGGCTTATTTTGAGCAGTTTGAGCAAAAGTCAGATACTGTGATGTTTTATTCATTCTGAGGCTTGTTTACTGTGGAGGTCTACTCTGACCTCTGGACTGGATTTGGTCAAGTTAAATTACATTTCTGTTTCGTGGTGAACTGAGAAAAAAAAAGAAAAAAGATTTCAACTGTTTACTAGGATGAACAACAACAAAAACCAACAAGATTCAAGTTGAGTGCATTTTAGGTGGATTCAACATTTGATGACCTGCCAAATTACTACCTTTTGAGGAAGAAGATTGCTGATTTTGACAAACCTTAATATGATCAAAATAGATCAGATTGGATGTATTAAAGTAATTTTTACTCTAAATCTGTCAGGGTAAAACATTTAGAGCAAATTGTTTTTACACCTACTTATGATTTAAAATATGGTAAAACATGCCATAAAACACCTTGTTTTTAATCAAATTCCTCCTTTGTTGTTCTGCTTATGTCTTCTTCTGGGGTTTTTGTGTTGCTTCCTTCAGTAGCTCTTGGAGCAGCGCCACCACAGGTGAGAGAGGGAACAGGTTTTTCAAAGGAGTTGACAGAATAGTGAACCAGCTGAAAATGGAACAAACGTCGCAATTTTGGTTCCCAATCAAACCGAGTCTGCCGGCTATCAGGTGAGAAAACAACCTTAAAATTTTAACAGCATTACCGTCCATAGATAAGGTTGTTCTTGTAACCAAAGGGAAAGAGAAACAGACAGTTCTGGTAACAAATTACCATTTGCCATTTAGCTCGAGCAACACTAATTAAAAAGACGTTGACGTTCAAAAAATCTTGGTGTTTTTGGACTGGTAACGATTAAAAACCTTGGTAGCCTCGATATCTACAACCTGTAAGGAGAGAGCCGAGTTCTTCCATGATGCATTTACGCCTTTTAATACAATCAAAAGCAACTCTTTTAAAGAGAAAACTCAATTAGATGCAACTCTGTGTCAGACTGTCACATAGGTTTTTACTCAACAAAGTACAGCTGAGCGACTAACCTAAAAATAGGAAAAAATGAAGGACAAAAAAAAAAAAACAGAAAAGTGCCAGGTAAAATTCTGTGGCACTTGACAATTTCCTGAGATTTCAGCTCTGTACATTACGTGGTAAGTTAGGAGACAGACAACAACAACAACCCACATCGTCTCTCTCACACACACACTGAAGCGAGAGTTCAATCTAGCCAACTAATGCCTCTCTCTCAAAGGGGAATGAGGCTGGTTAGCGGTAAGACAGAGTGAAAATGCGTGCGTGTGTGCAGGCATGCTGCGGATTGGTGTCCCAGAAGCTTTCATCATCAAGGCTGAAATCATTGCCGTGACAACAGGGTTTACAACCAATCACGGTGTTGATAATCACACGAAAAGACAAATCCCGGTGGGGCTTCGGTGTCTGCACTCATCTGACTCCACACAGTTCGCGGCTTTCTGAAAGGATGAGACCCCGTTCCAAACTGCTTTTTTTTTCTCTCTCTCTCTCTCTCCCCCACTCAACACAGGTTAAAATATTTAAACTCCTCTTTTCTGAGCACGTCACAGAAACTCAAAGTTTCCACGCACCTCTTACCAAACTGCCGAGGAAGTCAAGCAAATCTGTAAGCAGATACATTTAGGCTCTTCGCATTAGTTTACCTTTCTAAACTAAAAGGTGTTGAGCTCCTATTAATTCTTCCCCTCCGCGCTCGCTTTTAATGAGCCGCCGAGACGACCCGGTGACACCAACAGAAAGAATTTGTATTCTGCTCGAGGGTGAGAAAAAAAAAAACAAAAAAAACACAAAAAATCTACATGTCTTCTTCGACTAATTAATCTCAAAACTGCAATCGAAGCCAGAATTCAACATGTCACACTTTGCTTCATTCTTTCTCCTCTGAATACATTAAAATTGAACCCAACAAGAAAAGCTTTTCAATCCCCCAAACTTAGTTCTATTTTTCTTAACTAAGCAAGGAGAGGAGCTGGTAAGTAGCTTATTGACTGATTTCTTTATATGCCTCAGGCCTTTAAGATGTGCTAACACCCTGTTGGAGTGCTTAAAATAATCTGGCTGCGAGACAGCGCTGATAAAATGAAGAAACCCAACAGATTTCAGCCTCTCAAGGTATTAGACATAAAACTGGATTTTTTTTATTTCTCCTACAGAAGACCTAATACCTCATTAAAACTATTTGAAAAGAAAGTTCATTTTTCACTAAGGCACTCGTGGTTTGAGAGGCTCGAGTAAGATGGGCATTGTGTTTTCTAAACGGAGAAGCTATTAGTTTTAATACGTTATTGATTACGTTTGTTTATCTTGTGGATTTTTGTTACATAAATATAGAATAAACGCATACCAGTGGAAGACACTTTACAGACGTGCTTGTAGCTAGGCAACTGCAGCTGTAAAACAATGTTACCTTACTAAAAGTGACAGGCGGTGCTTGTTTTTTCTCTTCTTTATCAAAGTGCTGTTTGTCACCAACACAATAGTTTCCACATTTGTCTTTCTAGCAAGCTAAGCTAAAGCGGCTAACTAGCTTTGTGGACAAATAGCTGGAGGAGGACAATTCCTGTGTAACGACATTACAAACAGCTGAAGAAAAACTGGCAACTAAGGCAATATTCTTTGGCATTGTATTGGAAAAACTTTAACTATCAAAAAAAATATGACTGACCATATTAGGAGTTTGAAAGCTTGGCGCTGGTAACCCGACTGTGTATTAATACTCCATATTCTTTTCTAGATTCCATACTTTTCCAAACTCAATCTAGATTTTGGGGGGGGATATTTTGGTAAAAATGTCAACTTTTAAAGTTCTTTAACTGTTGTTGGGCGTTATCTGATCGTGAAAAAACTAAAATCGTTTTGAATTTTCAGAATTGGGTATTGACCAACTGATTCCGTTGTTGGTACATGGACGACATCGACTCGCCCCTATTTCAGAAAATCAAAAATGGATGACAGCATTCTTTGTGTCAAAGTTTGCAAATTTTGGTACTTTTATTCTGGCTGTAAGGGAAAGAAACCGGCAGCTTTAGTGTTTTGTTTGCCTTTTTCATCAAACTAAGTTTAAGAACCATAGGTCCAATAAAACTTGCATTAAAAGTTCAAAACCATCACAAAAAAAATCCTCTGCAAGCATCTTCTTATAAAATGATAATCAAATCTATACAAAAACACAAAATAATGAAGTTTTAAAAACGTGAGCCGTTTGTTTTCCTGTGTTTTTATCATGTAAAGCACTTTGAACTGCCTTGTTGCTGAAATGTGCTGTACAAGTAAATGTGACTGATTGGAAAATAAAAGTCAAACTGCAGCATTGTTCATTATTAGATGTCTGTCCTTTACAAAAAACAAAAATAAAATACTTTTCCTCTAGGCCTTTCAAGACCGAGTATGAACCCCTGTTAAATAGTATGGTCTTTAAAAGAAAAAAAAAAAAAAAAAGAAGACCCCTTGAGTTTAAAAGATTGAACAGGTGAGGTCCCTCTCGGTTTAGAAAGCCAACGGCCTCTGAAGACTTCTCGCTCTGGAGGGGAAGGGAGACGAAAACCCAGCCTGATCAGAATTCTGCCTCGCTCTCTCTCATCTGTATTCACCGGAGCGGCAGCATCAGCTCCTTGCTTTCATCCCTCGCCCTCTTTGGTACATTTGAAACCCACCGCATTTGCTGTCACAGAACTGTGGGCCGGAGTGGCTTTAGGTGTTTAAGGATTTGTGTTAGTAGCTAGGGCAAGCCGTCCGACGCCTTTAAAGAAATTAAGCACTGTTGTTTTACCCGAGTTGGAGATACTGTGCCTATTATCGCCCAGGTTTTTAATTGGCATACATTATTAGTGTTAAGGTCATTCAGACTACTACATAAAGAGGAAAAAAAACCATCTTCCAGACCATAATTATACATGTTTGTATCCTGTATAGTAAGTCATCTTTGTAGTCCCATAGTGAGACATCATGTAACATTACTGCTGTACTTCCCCCGCCCCAGGCTCCTCGAGTGAAGAGAAGCTCCCCTGTGGAGAAGCATGACTCTATCCTGGTACAATCGGAGCCCCAGATCAGCAAGATGCCATTTATGTTTTCTTTGCTTCAACGAAATCGTTTCCTAATAACTTATGTCCATCCAGTGAATTGCAACATGGTCTCAAACGCAGGGCCTCACAGTGAAAACCAGGTCGCAGCTCTAATAGGACGAGGAAGTCCATCATCGTGTCAGGTGCTGGGTGAGTGTTTTATTACCGCCAACGGAAATGAATTCATGACGGCTGATAGTAAAT